TTTGGAGATGGCTCAGTGGATAAAGCAATCATCATGCAAGCATGAGGATCAGAGTTCATATCCCCAGAACCCACAAAAACGCAATGCAGACATGGCTGCCTGTAACCCCAATACTGGGAAAGGAGACAGAGTAGCTAGAATTGACAAGCTTCAGGTTCAGTGAGAGACTCTGCTTCAGTAAATAAAGTGGAGAGCAATTAGGAAAGATGCCACAGGTGAACCTCTGGCCTTTACATACATGTGCACACATACATGCACACCTACACACATATGTGTGCACCCAAATGCATACCACACATATATATACATAAAAGATAAATTTAAAGACAATTTGAAATATATATGTGTATATATATGTGTGTGTGTGTGTGTGTGTGTGTGTGTGTGTGTGTGTGTGTGTGTTAAAGATGTGACACTGTAAAACTGATCATAAAAGTTGAAATGGATATGGAGTTACCGGAATCCCCACAGTGCACTATATGGGGGTCATTTTGTCATAGGCCTTCTGCCCTGGCTCCATTTGGAGAGCTCTAGTTTACTCCTATTCAAGATTCAGCTTGAAATAATCAAAGTAATTCATTAAGATGCTTTTCCTGAAACAGAGGAATGTTTTCCCTCAAACTGAATTCTAATCTACTGCTCAAGAGAAACAGAAACAGCATGGTGAAATGATTACCTCCCATTAACACATCCCCCTTCCAGTCATTATAGAGATATGGACTACATTTACCTTCACCATTCTGAGCACTCCATCACGATCTTTTTTCTACAATGTGCTCACTCAGAAATGCCCTTGGATAGCCAGATGGATATTCCATGGTCCTACATCTTCCAACCCCCCAGAAGTAAGAAATGTACGAAGAAAAAGAATGAAAATACCCTGTATGGATGGTGCATCCTCTATACCAGAGATCAGCTCTGTCTTGGCTTGTAAACAGAGCCGTTACTGATTTGAGGTTGCTTTCTCCATCTGTCATGGAGGAACCATGCAGAGGGAAGAGATTGTCACCAGAAGATATCAGAATTGTCCTCTGGGCAGGACATGGCAAGGATGCATCAATTTAAGTTTCCCATGTTTATCTTTGCTCTGTAAGTCAACACATGTCCTGAGGTCCCTGCTTCGTGCAGGGGTTGGGGTTGGGGGTGGAGGGGTCTTAGTTTACTGCCCTACACTAATCTCAGGATCCATGGCTCCCAAATGAAAGCCTTTGCTGTCCACCCTGATCCTTGAACTTGGATATGTTTTCTAGTTTAGTCGATCATTTTTGTCCTGAGACTCTCAGGAATATTTATGGTTAGTCAGAATATTTACTTTACTTATGATTTATGAATACGTTGTTCCCTTTCTGATGTTGCAAACAACTTGATTTATCAAGTGTAAAAGAATCAGAGCAGACTCTTGTTATACATGACAAGGCATGTGGGTAGACATTCAATATCATCAGTCATTAAGAAGATGCAAATTAAAACCACAAGGAGGCGTTCAAGAAGCCTGCACCTCAAAATAAAAATGAAAATGGTGTACTTCCAAGACCTAACATACACAAGGCCCTGGGTTCAACTCCCAGTACCCTAAACAAATAAACAACAAAAAACTACCCAGTTTCTGTAACTGCTAAGCCAAAAGACCCAATGATGTAAGCAACCCCCAAGTAATTCCCCAAAAGAAATGCAAACATATGTTCACACAAATACTCAGAGATGGGGACTTACAGTGGTTGTGTTGAGGAGTCAAAACTGGAAAAAAAGAATTCAACTGATGAATGGAAAACACACCTTGATCCAATTCTACAAAGAAATATACTCATCAACAAAGAAAAATGAGCTATTGGCACATGGAACAGCATGCCTGAATCATAGAAGTATGTGACATGAAAGAAACCAGGCATTTCAAAAACTGTATGACTGTGTGATGATGAAATTATGGAAAATGTAAAAATATAATGACTGGAAGTAGTGATCCTTCTGTGGCTAAGGTGCATAGGAGGAGATTGGTGGGACTGTGAGTGAGAGAGAGAGCTTTAGGTGTGGTTGACCACCTCTACGGGCTGTGGTAGTGGTCACAAATTTGAATACATATATTTGCCAGAGTTCATACTTTAATGAGCAAATTTAGAGTTTTGTACCTTAAAGAATTGATAGATTTTTTTCCCTTCTAAATGCTAAGAATTATGACGTGTATCTTATCTCTGGTAGGCCTTACTTGGAAGAATTTTATCTCTAAATTTAGTGCTCAATCATGGTAACAAAGAATGCCTTGGATTGGCAGTGCACTTTGTATAGGTGCAGTTGACACCCTTTGATCTTCCCTAAACTTACCTTCTGCATATCTCATTATGATACTTAAGAACATTTTATGAACTGTCAGAACATAAAGTTATAAGGAGACAGGAGCCTGATTGAGATCACTAATTAAGAGACTAGAACGAAATCAAATCACGTGCTCTTGGTTTAATTGTACTTACGTTTTAACTGCCTGGGTATTGGATGCCTTTGGCTGAGGAGAGAGCTGAACAAGCATTCATCCATCTCAGACAAGGCACAGACGAACCAGAGAATGGTTCTACTCAAACCCAGCCTAGTGAACAAGTGAGTTTATCGGCAGTATTTACAGGAGCACAAATCACCGAAAAGCGCACCTCAGCATAGTAACGGCTCCCCAGACTTACATCCCTGGAGCTCTTGAACCATTTGCAGACCACTCCACTAGTCAGAGACTCTCCTCTTCTCAGTAATTGCTATTACTTCTATAACCTTGGGAAGGAGCTTGTGACTCTTCTATGTTTCAAGAACTTGAGACTTGTGACATTTTGTTTACCTTCTGAGCCTTGTAAGTGTTATGTACTTCCTGAGACCTATCAAGCCTCCCTTTTCTTTCCAGGAGAGAGGGTTTCCAGTAGAAGGAAATATCTGTACAACAAAGGGCTTGTGTTTGATTGTTTGGCTTTTTACAAGACAGATCCAAGGTCAAGTCAGCCCCCATTATGACAAGGCTAAAAGACAGGTAGACTTCTCAAGAATTATTTTCCAGCAGATGCTTGTTTATAAAGGAAAACAGCTTAACTGTGACTAATCCTGAAATTATAGCTGAATACAGAACATCTCAATGACAATGTTCATGGGTAGGCATTTAAAATATGCTAGCGAACCAGGTGGTGGGTGGAGACCGTCTTCTGGCTCCTACAGGGTTCTTGTCTGCCTTCCCCTCCGAGAATGGAGTGGGCAGACAGAAAAGAGAAAATAGAAGTAACTTTATTTGCCATGTTGGAAGAAAGTACTCCAAAACCTTCTTGGCAAGAGGATGCCAGTGGAGAGCTGTTTCAGCTCTGATCCAAAGTTGGCTTTGGGGTGACTAGTTGAGAAATTGCAAGGGTTACAGCCCTGTGCTCTCAGAGGCTTTGGGGTGCTAACTGAGAGACTGGTTACAGCCTGAAAAATACTTGAAGGGCTTTCGTGTGTCAGTGGAGAGCAGTATTTTGCCCAGCAAGTTTATAGATCAGTCACCCAAATAAAAGGAGTAGGTCACCTGTCTCCAGCAGGTCTTGAAGACTAGGGTCTCAGGTCTCTGGTGACTGAAGCAAGTCTGCCAGTGCAGCTGCTGATGGAACCCTGGAGGCTGTCTTGGAGGACCTCCCTGACCTGGCAGAGCACTCTGGCACAAGAGCACCGTCCTTGTCTCCGTGGAACTCTGCCTCAGGCTCAGGGAGCCAACAAACACATCTTTTATATGTTGTGGCTACAGCCGAGTCCTGAAGTCTTCATCTTCGTCCACCTTGGGGTCTGGGAGAAAGTCTGGAAGGTGGAAGATGGCCACAGGTAATGAGGACCAGGTGGGCCCTGATTGGCTGGATCGCTAACATCCAGCCCATCAGGAAAGAGGTGTTAAAAGTTTCCACCATTTCTCTTTGTGAGGTCTGTTTTTGTAGGCCATGGTCTGCTACTTTTCTAGCCTGTCATTCCAAGCTCCAGCTCTCAAAAGCTGGGGTCTTCATACAGCCACATTTATGTTTCTCCTTATGTTTCTCCGTTGATTTCAGGGATGTAGGCCTTTCACTTTTCAAAGAACTCTGCATTTGGTGGGAAGTTCTACACCATGGACTCTTTCTATCCCTATCTCTAGGATACATTTTTGTAAAGTTGAAAGATGTCTCTTTCACTGCAAAAACAGAGCTCATCCATCCATAAAGAGGCTCTAATGCACCACTGTTTATGAGGTTTTTCATTCTGGAGCTGGAATCTTCTCTGTCTCCATCGAGGAAGATCTTGTTCTCACCTCAGGTCCCCAGACGCACTGCTCCTGGCAAAGTTCCTCTTTAGGAGGCTGATAGAAGCAGCTAAAGAAATTATTATGAATAATATGAATTTCCATGATGGAAGGAGAAAATAGTACAGAGCCAAGAGCAGAAGAAATGAATGCTGGAATGATGCAAGAGATATAGAGACTCTCCAGTCTAAAGTCCTTGGTGCTGTAGGGCGAGTAACCATTTAGCCAGAAGGATGAAGGAGGACCATCTGCTTAGGTCATCTAATGTTCCCTCCCAGGCCTGAAAGTTCTCCTTTTTCATCCAGTTTATTCCTGCCTAGTGTGGTCTGAGATGTTGAGACAGCATCTTATAATGAAATTCCTCATTGTGGCTCCCTCTTCCTGTTTCAGTGGTGAAAAGCTTCAATACAGACATCATCAGATGGCTCTGATGGATGCTCAGCTTGAGCTACTGCTCTCCATAGAAGACAGGGCACTCCTTTTCTTGTTTACCTGGTTCTTCCCTGCTCCAGCTTCCTCAATGAAGTTTTCTTCTCTCCACTTTCCCTGCCAATCTCCTGTATTAAAATGGGTTATCTGGGTTGGGTAAAATAGCAGGTTTTCATTGGGGTCCATTTCATGAATCCGTTTCTTCTGTCAGTCTTTATAACAGCATCTGCATGTTACAATATTATACCCACAACAGTAGTTTCTGAGGTTTCCTATTGAATCACTTTCTCCCCATTGTCTATCCTAGAGGAAAGCTAGGAGCAGCCCTCAAGAGGATGGAAGTGATTATGCAGGCCTCTTAGACTTGGACCAGAAAAAGCACGAAGGCAAAAGGTGATCTAGAGGTAAGGGCGATCTAGTATGATTCCAGTGCTAACATCTATCCAGGCCCAAGTTGATTTTTTGAAATGTGATGGTCATAGGCCAGCTGAGACATGCATCTTTGTCTTCTATACAAGATGGAACCTGTAGAAAGGAAACAGAACACACTCTTCCATGATCTGTGACAACCATATTCAGTATTTCTTGCCCCCAAAATGTGGTTGTTGAATTTCAGTACACATAAGAATCACCTGTGTGTTTTGTTATACTACAGAGTACCTTATATTAGCCTTGTGGATTTTGATTCAGAGTTTTCAAGTGAAGACAGAGATTTGAATTTTCATATTCATTAGCAAATCCTTAATACGCTCAGAGACAAAACAAGGTTAATATATCCAACAAACGAGCATCCTATGTGATCAAAGACCAAACCACAAGATTCTGATAATATGGAGTAATAATATTGACATCTTAGGTGTGGGTTGAAAAGAAGAACAAAATTAAATAGGAGAATGGGCTCCATACAGACCTCCTGGGAGCAGGGCTTAGGACTATGCACTTGTATAAACATTGTTAGTAATTTTGAGGTGCGTTGACATCTGAGGACCACAGAGAAAGAGAGCTGGTATCCACCCAATATCACCCTCATTTACAAGAGCTATCACCTGAAAATAAGTTTATTAGTAAAGAAATGACATGGAAATTTTTAGTAAAATTTGATAGCAAACAGCCATGACATGTTATTAAGATTCAGGTCCCATCTCTCTTCCCAAAATCCACAGCAAAGAATCATGTCTGCATATGGTAAGGGATTGCCATGACGAAGTTGAGTCTTGAGTCTTGGCTTATGTGGTTTCTCCTTGTTGTTTCAAATATCATGAATTATATCTCTTGAAGTGACCCCAACAGTTGCTCTGATGGTAGGAACACAGAGCCAAGAATGCACTGCTTCCTTCCTCCACTTCGATATCTTAATGGAATGAATGCAATATTATTTATCAACTGCAAGCTTGATGGAATATATCATATAAATCATCTCAAAAGTTATTTGCCACCTGCCTGCCTGCTCTGAAATGCATGCAGGCTTAATTAATCTAATTAGTCAATGCACAGATCAGGAGCACATTTACAGCTTCTCTGGCATCATAAATAAACTAGCTTTGTTTTCATGGGCTAAACAATTCATTCTGAAGATGGATATGAGGAAGGAACTGGGAGGGCTGACCTCTATTACAGTAAAACATGGAATAACGATGGTAGGGTTTTCTTTTTGTTCTGTGTGCCCTCCATTAACCTTCTATTAAAATACTCCTCTGTGGAGGAGGCAAGGGGTGCTGAGGTGGCACTCAGCAGAAATGTCATGCCCTCCCACCTGGAGAGGCTCACCTGCCGTTTCCCTAAGAATGAACTTACCCAGTTTAAACCTCATGATTGAAAGACACATGGATTCTAAAGCACATGCGCGCACATTGGACCATAGATGCTGGAAGGTCAAGAGCCCACGCAGCTGGCTAGTGACAATTTCAAATGGCAGGAGAGGGAGGGCCAAGGCAGAAAGTGAGGCATGGGGCTGAGCACAGTAAACATGCTTGATGTGACTATGTACTTGTTTCTTTGTTAGCCAAGGCTACCGAGTGTGACTGCAGTGGTGGTTATGGTCCCAGAGTCCGGAATACACAGGCCCATGACAGCAGTGGAATCATGTAGCCACGTGGTCCTGAAGCAAACTGATGGTGTAGCTACAGGCTTAAGTCCACAGTTAAATAAATATCCCATCTTCCACTGTGCGCATGCTGTGTCTCTTAGAAGATATATACAAATTCTTTATATTTTGCTGCTCTTCGGTGTGTTGCAAAAATTGTGCGGCTTGTTTTAAGGATTAAATGAGAGAATCCAAGCACACAGCACATGAGCTGTATTAGTCAGGGTTCTCTAAAGGACTGTATCTAAGACAATGAATATCTTAGAGGAGCTTTATTAGGTTGGCTTATAAGATGTGATCCGGGTAGTCCAACAATCACTGAACCCTGGTAGAAAGGCCAAGAACATGGTAGCTGTTGAGTCCACAAGGTTGCATGTCTATCAACCCCAATCTAGCATTGGAGTCCTGGAGGAGTCCTGGAGAGTTGATGCTCTTCAGTTAACGTTGGAAACCTAAGACATTTGGCAGCAATAGGATAGATGGACTTGCTAACAAGAGTGAAGATAATCAGGCCAAAAGCAAGGTTTCCTTCATTTAAGTCCTTTTAGGTAGACAGACCATGGAAGGTGTGGCCAAGATTTTAGGATGAGTCTTCCTGATTCAGTAATCTGATCAAGAGAATCCCTCACAGGAATGCCCAGCCGCTTGGGTTTTGGTTGACTTCAGATGTAGTCAAGTTGACAATCAAGATTAGCCAGCATGTGACCCATTCCTAAATAATTTCAGTAGCTCTGGGCAAGAGTGGGAATGGAGCACCGCATCCCCAGGCCAGTGTTTCTTGACCTTCTTCCCGCCGTGCTCCATTATCACACATAGCCTCACCTTGGGACCTTTCAACCTCAGAGGGAGGAACCTCAGGATGAGATCCATGCTGGACCTGCAAGTTGGCTTAGGTTCAAAGGGGCCAGAGATGTCTTGGGTCATGATACCCAGAGGATGAGCAGGAGGGCAGCAGCCCCTCCCATCTCCAAGGTTGTATATGAGGTAACTAACTGACTAGGTGGGACTCTTCAGTAGTGCAGTTGCTGGTAAGTACCCAGGGGACTAAAGGTAGTGCACTTGGCTTTGAGTAATTTGTGCTTCTGCAACTTATTAGGCCACCATATTAGATGTGGACAGGATCCTTTTATTGTCCTGTTGGGGTCCTCTTTCTTTGGAACTATGGAAATTTCTTTATCTCTCCAGGGAAAGTCATGTGACCATCCCATACATTTCATGATGATTTGTCTCTCACAATGTTGAGATTCTATGGTAGTCTTAGAATAGTAGGTGACCCACTCCGTGAAGGCCAACAATTATTTCCATTGTTGGGCTTCAGAGTGCATTACTGCATTGAGTTAGCCAATGGAGAGAGTTCAATATATGTTTGAGGGAGTATTTGTAAAAACCTTAACACTGAAGACTGTCCCTTGAAGAAGCTCAGATTTGATTTGACCAAGTGGTAACAATTGGAGTTTTGAGGGCTGATGTGAGGCTGGGCTGTGTCTGTGAGGCAGACACAGGGCTCAGCATTTGCAAGGCAGAGAGGTAAGGAGCAGCATGGTTAGGAAGGAGGAAGCGAAGGAGAATGAGGGGGAGATAGAATGACTTAGGCACACCCGGAGGGGGAATTCAGCACACCAAGTGCTTCAGGAGAAATCATGTGAACCAATCATTCAGTATCCTGGCTTGACAGACACAGAAGGACAAGCTGTCTGTTACTCTCCTGATGCTCTGTGTTCCTGACCTTGACAGAAGTTGTTATGTGGAAGTCAGCATGTTTTAGGATTCAACCTTGGCTTAACTTTGTTGTTCAGTATTTTTTTAACTCTCTGTCTCTGTGTGTGTATGTGTCTGTCTGTCTCTCTCTCTCTGTCTCCTTTCTTTCTCTGAGTGTTATATGTGATATGTATGTGCTAGTGTGTTTAAGTGTATGAATCCAGGAGTATACATGCCACAGCTTGCAAATGTAGAGCAAAGGACAACGTCAGATGTTGACTGTCACCTTCCACATAGGTTGAGACATGCTCTCTTATTCTCTCATGTGCATCAAGCTAGCTGACCTGTGACCTTCCAGGAATTCTCTGTCTTCACTTCTGGTCTCACCATAGGAGCGCTAAGATTACAGACAAATGCATGTTCTGGAGATTCAGACTCCAGCTCTCATGCTGGCACGGCAATCTCTTTACCTACTGAGCCATCTCCCCAGGCCTTATTCAATATTTTTAACTAATGCCTTTTTTGTTCTTCTCCGGTGGTTTGCTGGTTAATATTGTCAGCTTGACAGGATCTAGAATTACCCATGGGGGATTATGTATATTAGGTTAGACTCTGGTCATCCCTGTGAGGGATTTTTTCTTGATTAGGTTAATTGAAGTAGGAAGATTCACCCTAAATATATCAGGACCTTCTTATGGCAGCCCTGATATAAGAAGAGCCAAAGCAAAAATGTTTGCTTTTTTTTCTGTTTCTCTTCCCAACTTGCTACTGAGTTTTGTCTACTCTGCTGCAGCTGCTGCTGCAACTAGACTTTACTGATACCAAAGTCCAAACTCTTCGGCATTCTGACTTGGAGTGAAGTCCAACAGTTCTTTGGGGATCCTCTAGGCTTTTAGCTCCAGATTGGGACTGTTGAGGCAAACAGCCTTGTGGACTGAAGAGCTGCCAGATCTCAACCTATCCAATGTGAATGACATGTCATACAAGCCAATATATATAGATTTCTCTTAGTTACAGTCCTCTGAGAGCCCTGACTAACACGGTGGCATGTCAGCTCAAGTCATACTTTACAGTACTTCTGGACTGAAGGTTGAATAAATACAAATACTCCCAGTCAGATGGATGGTGGGGCCAGACCTCCAACCAGGAAGAATTTCCCTCAAACCTCACCCCAACTGTACTGGCAAATTTGAAATTTATATGTGTTTAGAAATCAAAAGTACCAATAAAAATATTGTCTCAAAGCAACAGAAGAGTACATCTGGAGAAGTGATTTTTAATACACTCAAGCTAAAATGACAACTAGGATGCAATGCAGGTTACATCACACAAACCAAACCATACCACAAATGATATGTGATAATGTATGGGTATGAGTGGTCAAGGAGGTGCCCTAAATGATGCTAGAAAGCAATGTTTTCACTAGGAATTAATAGGATAGACATTGGATTCTAGCTGGTCATTTTGCTTCTAAGAATGCAGGTTAACAATTCTGAAAGTGCATGATATGTATATTGGTATTAGACGTGTAAGTAAATGGATGATGGAGAGAAGCCAGGTTTCTTGCTATTGGAGTGGGAAGTGACAGATAAGCATGGAGTGAGGGTCAGGAGGACCATGCTT